CCTGGGCACCGCCGCTGACCACCGCCACCCGCCACCGCCACACTCTGAGCATAACTTCCAAACTCCAAATCTCGGGCCGAGTCTTCCAGCATCGGCCGCTCTAGGAGTGCTCTCTATGGTGGGCCAGCTGCTGGACAGCAACCGGCCCACCATAGAGAACACTCCTACAGTGGCCGATGCTGGAAGACTCGGCCCGAGATTTGGAGTTTGGAAGTTATGCTCAGAGTGTGGCGGTGGCGGGTGGCGGTGGTCAGCGGCGGTGCCCAGGGAGAGCTGCTCGTTACCATGGTTACCTCATGGCTGCTTCGCCCCTGAAGCTGTGCCTGGCTCTTCGGGAGCCCGCTCACAAGGGAGCAGCCACCCGGCAACTCTCCCCTCCAGCTAGGCAGAACGCCACTCCCCAACCTAGTGGTATCCCAAAGGCGCCAAGCAGCGTGAGTGCCTTTCCCCCTCCCTCCCGGTTCCTGCGGCTTGGCACCTTCGGGATACCACTAGGCCAGTGAGCGGTGCTCTGCCTGGCCAGAGGGAGGGTTTATTTTCAGGGGTGGGCTTATATTTTTGCCCACGCGAAAAATATGGCAAGGAGTTAGTTTCGGGACAGGTCATATTTTCGGGAAAACACGGTATCTATGAGCAACTTCATTTTGGGTGAATATGGTAAAATGTTGAATGTTTTTATATCTTAATATCCTTTTTTTAAAAAAAGTGTATCTCTCTCCCTTTCTGTCTTAACAGTGATTGGTACAAAGGGACTTACATGCCTAAAGGAAGAAAGGAAGGAAAATTAGAAGACGGCTAAAACACAGTCATGTCTTCTGTTTGGCACACTATTCCCCCTCTTCATGGGAACTACAAGAGGTTGGGTTTCCTTTTAATTTTCAGTGTAAGTGTATGTTGTAGTGCCTCTTTAATGTGCCCCACCACTTGCATCTGTGCCAGTGACATTATGAGTTGCACCAGCAGAAACCTCTCAAGGGTGCCATCAACTCTTTACAAGCACATAAAAAGACTGGATATGAGTCATAACAAAATTGGGATTTTGGATCAAGACTGGATACCCATGCTGCTTGAGAAGTTGAACACCCTCATCCTCAATCATAACAACATTTTTAGTATTTCTATTGGGAGCTTCTCAGTTGTTCCAAATGTCAAGTACCTAGACCTGTCATCCAACAATTTGAAGTCATTGGGCAGTCCTATATTTCAAGAACTGAGAATGCTGGAGGTTCTGTTGCTTTATAACAATCATATTGCACAAGTTGATTCTGCTGCTTTTGGAGGAATTCATATGCTGCAAAAACTGTATTTAAGTTACAACTCTCTCACACGCTTCCCAATTGAACTCTATACTGGGAAATACAAGCTCTCCGAACTTGTATTCTTAGATCTTTCTTATAATCAGATCCAGTCAATACCAGTTAATGGCATAAGACTAGTACCAGCCCGACACTTAAGTGGAATCTATCTTCATGGGAACCCATTTCATTGTGACTGCATACTTTATTCTATGCTGAACTTGTGGTACCTTCGACATTTTACTTCAGTGGAAAACTTCAAGACTGAATATACATGCAGTAAAGATTCCCAAAAACTGCCTTTATTGCAGAACAATTATTTAAATTGTTCAGAAAGCACCATTAATGGTTCTTTCCATGCCTTTGGTTTTATTCAGGAAGCACAAATTGGTGAGCGAATTATAGTACCCTGTGATACCAAAATCAGTGATGCTGGGACTAGTTTTATTTGGATCAGACCAAATAATCAAGTATTAGAGCCAGGAAAGATAACTGAACAGTTCAAAGTATTTCATAATGGGAGCCTGGAAATAGATGATGCTCAGTATGAAGACGCTGGACTTTATTCCTGCATTGCAATGAATAAGAAAAGATTATTGAATGAAACAATTGAAGTAAGAATAAATGTCAGCAATTTTACAGTGGACAAATCTTACTCACATGAAACATTTAACACTGCTTTTACAACGCTTGCAGCTTGTGTAGCTAGTATTATTTTGGTACTTCTTTACCTCTACTTGACGCCCTGCCCTTGTAAGTGTAAATCAAAGAAAAGGAAAAGGCAATTAAACCAAAATAGCACATCTCATGCATCCATACTAACCTCCAACACACTCCTCAATCTTCCATTAGATGAGAAGAAAGCTAGCAGTGGCAAAAGGGTGGTGTTTCTTGAACCTGTGAAGGAACCTAAACCAGGTCAAAATGGGAAAATCAGAATATTTCCCAATGAGACTGTAATTACTGAAAGCATCCTGAAAACACCCCGAACAAAATCAGACTCGGTTTCTACAAACTCAGCATTCTCAGACATGCATTTCATGCCATCATCTTAAGTGTTCCTCCTGCACTAATGCCATAAATCCTATCAGCAGCAGCCACAGCTTTATCCAATATTGAAAGAAAAGTCATGGAAAACCTCTGATTTTTTTAAGAAAACAGAAATCTTGAAGGTTGAAATTAATTGCTGTTATCTTCTTGTTCCTTCTCAGTGGGAAGAACATGTGTTAATCTTACAACATTCAGGAGGAGCTCGTTGTTATATGACAGGAGTAGCAGAGTAAGATGGTATACCTTGTATTCTTTCTAATATTTCCTCTGAAATGAATTAGGAGGTAGCCTTATGAAGGAACTTATCTGATCATTGTCCTCATTCAGTGGAAGAAAGCTTACACAGTAGAAGTCCCATTGGCTTTAGGCCCTAGGTGTTTCACTGTATAGAATCAGTGGGATTGTATTATCAGACTTTGAATCAAGTATGTCTTACAGTGTTTATAGAAGAACAAAATAGCCATTTATTCAATTTCTGTTCATTGCCTTGAGAAATATATTTATAAATAAATTTATATAATCCAGAGCATTCCCAAATAATGTTTAATGTTTAGATTTATTTCAAAACTGGACAGGGATAAGGGTTTTTTTTGTAATGAATTTTAAAATCTAGGAATGTAATGTATGGTAAATCTAGAAAGAGATAACCCCCCAAAATGATAACTTTTACAGAACTCATACTGACCAGAGATATGATTATTAAACCAATTAAGCCTTGAAGGTCTGTATTTCAGAAGGATATCACTTTAATCTTGTTAAGAAACCCATAGTCTAAAAGTATTTAAGAAGTACTATTTTTCCATCTACTGTATGGTGAGCAGAGAGGTGCACTATTGGAATGTCTGTCTTTACAGGTCTTAAAGGGATAAGAGCCATGATACTGTAGAAGTATATCCAGCCTATTTGTTTGGATTAAAATTTATGTATGTGTGTGTCTGGACTGAGCAGAAAATGTCTACAAAAAGAATGCATAGAATTAGTTTTGTAAAATTATTGAAATGTGTGCAATTAGATATTTTATATACGTTCCACTGCACTTTGACTATTTTTGATGACCTATTCAGAGCCATAATCCAAACTGTTGATCCCAAGATAAATGTTGCTTTCACATCAATGGCATGAATACCTAGACTTTACCTTCTGAACCTAGAACTCCAGTTTGAATTTGATTTTTAGAGCTTTATTTGAAAAATTCAAACTAGTTAAGCTAATTCTGTTTGTCATTGTTTAATGTGTAACTATCAAAGCAACAATTCATGAAGCTTCCATCTTGTGACGTTTTGATATAAAATTGACATGTCATAATTTCAGGATGATCTATTCCATTAGAAAGCTGGAACTTTGTACAAGTCTGATATATTTTAGCATAGTTTTGTGTTAATAAATGAAATACGAAAAACAATAAATTATTTGCAAATATTACTTATTTTGCATAGCATTGTTTGTCCCATTTGGGTTTCTGTCAAATTAGTAGACTGCAGTAACATGCAACATAGATTACAATTTCTTGGTTTTCTCCGCTCGCTGTCAGCTGCAACCTTCAATCAAAATAGAGCTGGAAGGTCTTTAATCCAGTCCCCTGCTCAAACAGGAGACCCTATACAATTTCAAATAGATGGCTGTCTACTCTTTTCTTAAAAATCTCCAGTCATGAACCACCTACAACTTCTGAAGGCAAGCTGTTCCACTGGTTAATTGTCCTTACTGTTAGGATGTTGTTGCTTCTCTCCTTGATTAGTTTCCATCCATTGTTTCTTGTCTTGCCTTCTAGTGCTTTGGAAAATATTTTGATCCTCTTCTTTGTGGCAGCCCCTCAAATACTGGAATACTGCTATCATGTCACCCCTAGTCCTTCTTTTCTCTAGACTGGCCATACCCAATTCCTGCATCTGTTCTTATATGTTTTTGTCTTCAGGCTCATAATTATCATAGTTGCTTTCTTTGCACCTTTTCCAAAGTCTCAACCTCTTTTTGAAATGCGGTGTCCAAAACTAGGAGGTGTGGTCTTACTAAGGGTTTATAAAGTGGTACTAATACTTCAAGTGATTTTGATTCTATGCCTTTGTTTATACAACCAAGGATTGTATTAGCTTTTGTGGCTGCTGCTGCACCTGCTGGCTCATGTTTAAGTGATTGTTCACTAGGATTCCAAGAACTGTGGTGGCACAGTGGTTAGAATGTAGTACTGCAGACTACTTCTCCTGATCAGTGGCTGCCAGCAGTTTGGCAGTTCAGGTCTCACCAGCTGAAGGTTGACTCAGCCTTCCATCCTTCTGAGGTTGGTAAAATGAGGACCCAGATTGTTGTGGGCAATATGCTGACTCTGTAAACCACTTAGAGAGGGCTGTAAAGCACTGTGAAGTGGTATATGTCTAAGTGCTATTGCTAGTGCTATCCCTCTCACAGTTACTGTTTTTGAGCCAGGTTATGCCTCTAGTTTGGTTTTTCCTGCCTAGGTGTAAAAACTTGCTTTTCTCCACATTAAAGTACATGTTATTGGATTGGGCCCATTGTTCAAGTCTTTGTTCATTCTGAACCTTTGCTTTCCTGACCTCATCTTTGCAGATTTGGGCTATTTGCTGATATTCTGCCTTAGTTATGTGTCCCATTTTCCATTTTTTGTACTTATCCTTTTTGTCTTTCAGTTTATCAGAGAGATCTTTGTGCAACCATGCTGGTTTCTTCTTGGGTTTCTTGTTTTTCTTTTTTAGTGGTATTGTGTTGGACTGGGATTTTATGATAATATTTTTCAGTTTCCCATGCTTCTTGAGTTATTTTCTCCTTTAGGATTTTTATCCATGGATTTTTTTCTTAGTCTTCCTCTGAGTTTGTTAAAATCAGCTGTTTTAAAGTATGACAGTAATTGGATTATATTCTATTGCTTGTGTTTGCATTATATTGAATTCCAGAATGATATGGTCACTGACGCAATTTCATCTCCCTCTAAAAAAACAACAACAACCCAGCAGCTCTGCTCTGCTGGGAAACTTGATCATTGCCTCGGACTTGCAACATCTGGTAAAACAAATAAGTACTTTTCCAACAACCTGTAAAATCCAAGGCATTGTGCTTTCACAAAGGAGGAAAATGATGGTGATGGCAAAGTCTGGAGCAGGAGTCCTGGAGTGAGGAGGAGTGCTGGAGGAGTAACAACTTAATAAAAAAAAACTTGGTCCAACTGGCCCGGCTTGTAGCACCTCATAAGGGCCCCTTTTCCAGGGTTGCAGGAGAAGACGGTCAATGGTTTTGAAGGTGGAAGTGCACTCTACGCCCCAATGGCAGATAAAGTGGCGGAACCATCTTCTAGGAGAAAGGAAACTCTGATTACAAACTTCCACTGCCTTGTGGCTATTGGAAAAGGCTTCAGGAGTCAGCCTCTAGGCAAAATCCGGAGCCGGAGTTCTGGAAGCAGTTCGTGACTGTGTACAACCATGTTCTGGTAACTCCTGCGACACAGCTGGAACCAATCGTATTGGCTCTGCCATTCCACTGGACTATTTCAGTGACGTGGAGAGTGGGGATCTGCTGCTTGGGTAACAGTCTATCCTTCATATCAATCTACCCAGGCCTCGTGCTCTGGAGAGGACACTCCAACTTTGCATACACCATTAAAACAATATGGAAAGGGGCAGTTACTGGTTATAAGTCTTTGCTTGATTGGCGTAGAGTGTGACGCCAGGGGCCACTTTCGACAGGAGAGGTCGCCCGCTACCGCCCGCCTTATGCTGGCCAGCCCCCAACCAGTAAGGTGCTTCCTCACCATGGTCTATTACCTCACAGGGTGTATGGAGTTTAGGGTCAAAACCGACAAACAGATTGATAACTTTGCACCATGCAACAACCATAAGAAAACTTCAGCCCTAAAGTTGGGCACTTGGAATGTTCAGACAATGACTCCCGGCCTTTCTGATGATTTGCAAGAAATAGGTCACATACGTAAGACAGCTGTCATTGACATGAAGGTGAGACTGCAAATGGACATCATTGCCCTTCAAGAGACGAGGCTGTCAGACTCAGGATCTGTTAAGGATCTGTTGAGAAACTTTTTGTTTCTCAAATGAGATTAGGGAATATGGGGTTGACTTTGCGGTCAGAAACACCCTACTAGGACTCATTACTCCACCTGCTGCAGGAAGTGAAAGAATTCTCTCCTTGCAGCGCCTCTCATCAGCAGGGCTGGTTACTCTTATTAGTGCATATGCACCGACATTATCCTTTTCAGTAGAATCTAAAGACAAATTCTATGACCATCTGGCTGCTACTATCAAGAAAATCCCTGAGAAAGAACCAGTGTTTATCCTTGGCGATTTTAATGCCAGAGTTGGAGATGATTATAGTTCTTGGCCTACTTGTTTAGGTCAGATTGGCGTAGGGAAGATGAGTGAAAATGGCTAACGCCTGCTGGAATTTTGCTGCTACTATGGTCTTTGCGTTAGAAATACATTCTTTAAAACAAAGCCTCAATACAGAGTCCCTTGGAGACATCCAAGATCGGAGCACTGGAACCAGCTCGACTTGATTCTTACCAGACGCTCTAACGTTCCCAGTAGTATAATCACACGTAGCTATCAGGGTGCTGATACAGACCACTCCTTGGTGTGCAGCAGAATAAAACTGCAAACAAAGAGACTGTATCACTCGAAGAAGGAAGGAAAGCCACGAATCGATAACAACAAGACCCGCAATCAGGGCAAAGTGCAGGAATTTGCACAAGCACTGGTGGAAACTCTTCCAGGCTCAGCTGAAGCAAATGCATCTGAAAGATGGGAATATTTCAAGAATGCTGTTTATAACACTGCCTTGTCAGTATTTGGAAGGAGAACAGAAAGAAAGCAGATTGGTTTGAAGCCCATTCGGGGCAGCTGATGCCAGCCATCAAGGAAAAAAGGAGAGCACTTATTGCATATAAAACCTGTTCCAGTGAGCTCAATCTACAGGTTCTGCGAGCTGCTCATAGCAAAGTCCAACAGGCCATCAGGAGATATGCTAATGATTTTTGGCTGCAGCTTTGCTCTCAGATCCAGACAGCAGCTGACAAAGGCAACCTCAAGGGGATGTATGATGGCATCAAGCAGGCCTTAATTCCAACACAGAAGAAATCTGCCCCTCTGAAGTCTGCTACAGGTGAGGTTATCCAGGACTGAACACAGCAGATGGCACACTGGGTGCAGCACTACTCTGAGTTATATTCCAGAGAAAATGTGATAACTGAAGAAGCATTAAATAACATTGAGTTATGTTGCCTGTCTTGGAGGATCTTGACAATGAACCAACCTTAGAAGAGCTAAATGTGGCCCTGGATTCCCTTGCCTCAGGCAAGGCACCTGGAAAAGATAACATCCCTGCCGAAGTTCTGAAGTGCTGCAAAGAGAACATCCCCACTGAACTGCATGAAATATTCTGTCTTTGTTGGAGGGAAGGTAGAGTACTGCAGGACATAAAGGATGCAAATATTGTCACATTGTATAAGAACAAAGGAGACAGGGGTGACTGTAATTACTACCGCGGATCTCTCTTCTTAGTGTTGTGGGGAAGCTGCTTGCCCATGTCATACTGAAGAGGTTCCAGGTGCTTGCAGAGAGTGTCTATCCAGAATCACAGTGTTGATTCCGAGCCAACAGGTCCACAACTGACATGGTATTTTCCCTTAGACAGCTGCAGGAGAAATGCAGGGAACAAAGACAGCCACTTTTCATAGCCTTCATAGATCTTACGAAGGCTTTTGACTTGCTTAGTAGAGACAGCCTTTATAAAATTCTCCCCAAGATTGGATGTCCACCTCAGCTCCTCAACATCATCAGGTCCTTTCATGAGGAAATGAAGGGCAGTGTAGATTTGATGGCTTAACATCAGATTCTTTTGACATTCGAAGTGGAGTGAATGCTGCTTCTTTGTGCTGTGTGCTTTCCAGATGGAACTTAGAGGAAAGTGACAACTCATAGCTGTTAAATTGCACAAGAGACGCTTTCTCTCCCAGTAAGAGCAGCAGCGGAGAGAAGCAGCTGTGGTCCCTGGAGCATCTCAGTGAGCGACCAAGCCTCGGCAAGGGACTGCTGCAAGATCTCTGCTGCAGCACTTTAGGTAAGAACTGCCAGTAGTTTGAGGCCAGAGAGGGGTGGTGGCATGCGGGTGGAGGCCTGAGATAAGGCTGGAGCTGGGGAATGGCATGTTTCCTGACCTGCCCAAGGCAGGCAGTGAGTGGGCAGAGGCTCCGGGGCAAGGATGGAGCTGGGTAATGGTGTGTTCCCTGACCTGCCTGAGGTGGGCAGAGGCTCCTGGGCAAGACTGGAGCCAGGGAATGGTATGTTCCCCAATTCGGCTGAGGAGGGCAGTGAGTGTGTGGACGCTCCAGGGCAAGGCCAGAGCTCTGGAATGGTGTGTCTATCAGCTCCATGGGGCTCTGGTGGCTCAGGGCTGCCATAGCGAGAGGGAATGCAGTGGGAACACTACAAATTGCTTGGGAGTCTCCTCTGATGCTGGCAGCCATTTTGGAAAGCCTCAACCCGACAGCATGTAGCGGACGGCGTGGCAGATATCAGTCAGCTGGGAGGTGGCCAGGATACCGAGCGCTGCCTTTGCAATCAGAATGAAGACAGCTAGAAGGCAGTCTGGTGGCTGCTAACTCATGCAGTGTGAGGAACTGTGGAGGACTGACTCCGGCAGCTTTACCACCCCAGATATCAACATGCAGGAGGTGCTGTGAGCGTTGGATGCTTGTGGGGGGGGGGGGTGAGCTTCCAGGTTATAGGTGGCGCAGCTGGGGAAATTGGAGCCAAGGGGGTTTCATTTGGAGAGAGTCTTATTGGAGTCACAGGAGTGTAATTTGAATAAAGCTTTATAAGGTGGTGGGGAGCACAGAGCAGTAGCTCTAACAATTTTCCTTCATTTGTATTTGCAACTTGGTGGTCAATTCAGGCGGGCATGGATTAAACAGAGTTTTGATCGTCATTACTGTTCAGAATCTCTGCTGGCCATCCAGAACCTGACAATGTCCCTGGGTCCTGACCTAAGACGAAGGGTGAGCGGGCAGCATGCTGACCTTTGGTGAGCAGAGCAGGTGAGGCACGGAAATTAGCTGGATGGTCTGGACCGTGTGGAAAAGGGAAGATAATATATAAGGCAGGGCAGGGTGGGCAAGGCTAGCCAATGGTCAATTTTACCGGTTCTCCAAACTGCACAAAATCATAACAAGCTGTTCGCCCGAACCGGTCCAAATCAACTGAATCCCACCCCTGGCCTTGGGTATGTTTCTTATATCTCCTACATTGTAACTGGGATTTTCATCCTTTCATCATTGGAAATAGGTTCTAAAGGTCATAAAGAATCCCCCTCTCCCAATCTTAATTTAAAGTCCTTTTGATGGCAGAGGGCGAGAGGAGGCCGTTGCAGCCAAAAACAGAGGCTGGGAGGGCCATGTGTATCTTCCCAAAGCTCCTTTTTTGTTGGTAAAGGCACTGTGGGCTGGTTCTTTGCTTTTTCTAGGGCAGCACTGCGGGCCATATCGAAATACCCGGCAGGCCGGATCTGGGCCCCGGGCCTTGAGTTTGACACCCCTGGTGTAGATGTATAGATGAAAACAACTTTTAAGAAGTTTTCTATCAAAATATTGATAATGTATTGTTACTTTTCCTTGCAGGTAAGCCATAAGTCTATTCTCCTTAGTCCCACATCTCCAGAATTTGAAAACCTCCATGATGATGATCACAACAGCACAATAAAAAACCTGCTTTCTCCATGTGTGAATGTTGACACATGTACAGATATGTTGTATGAGAACTTCAGTAACACTGCCACAACCATCAGCTTGTCTTTTATTTTTAATTATTCTTACAAATATTGCTGTCTACTATATCTGTTTTGAAATACGAAAGAATGTTAACTGGTCTCTCTTGGTCTACACTTGATAAAGTTGTGGCTATCTTAGTTTTACTATTCAATTATTGTTGATATCCTAGTTTTTTTCCTTTTGTACAAAGCCTTGAAGCCCTTACTTGCTACTATGTAAGTTCAGGGACATTCAGTCCTTACAGAAATGATTTAGAATGTCCAAACCTAAAATGCTGTTTCTCTGTAGTTAATGTAAATTAAATTATGTCCTCTTAAGCAAAGGAGAAGCAGAGCAGTTTACCCTGCTGAGAACTTGTATTTGTAAGAGTTATATGTGCAATAGGGCAGTTTACAAATCTATGGTAAATATAAGTCTAAAGCTGTCTATACCTTTACATTCCATGTGACTTTCCTGTCGTCTTGGTTCAACAATAAAGTATCTTGAAACAAATATTCGAATCCCTGTGTCTTTGATTTTGTAAGTGACCAATTAATAACCAATTAAATTAAAAATGAAATGAAGTAAAATGAACCTTCAATAATTATGTACTGCTTTATTCCTTTTGTTCTGTGCATATTTATTCATTTGACTATGAATGAATAGGGAGAAGCAAAACTTCTACAAAACATTCTGCAACTGACATCACACATTGTGCTAAGCCATGGTTTAATCATAGTTTGCTCAACCATGCGTTACTGCATAACCCCTATTAGCTGAGATCAGAAATGCTAAGACAACACAAGATACATTACCGAATAGCATAATATACTGTATGTAATGGATATGATCAAAGTATAGTGTATAAGACCTCTAAGAGTATATTAGGTCACCATTTTATCTTCAAAAGTTTCAAATGTGCAGAAGAAAGAACCAGTTTTGCTCTATTGCAATGAATGTTTAATGTCAACAAAGTGATTTTAACTAATTTGGTGTAATGGTCAGCATTAACCATCTATTCTGGCTTTCCATGAGAATTGTAAATAAAGCAAGATAACAGATCAATGTGGCCAAAATAGTAGATAAACATACTAAGCATAGCCTTGGCAATAAAGTCAGTGTTCTTGGTTGAAGTCTCTTTAAAGAGACTTCATAGTCAGTAGTCATGATAGGATTTCTACTTCAAATCTATTTTAAAGATAACAGCATAATGAAATATAACACAAAAGATTTACCTGGTCTAAAAAACTGAGCAAAAAGAACAACAATTTTGACAAGATAAGTTGTTCAGTATTCATAATTTAAAATATTTTTAAAATTTTTACTAAACCGCGGGTTTCAAGCTCCTCAATGCAATTTTCATTACATCCTTGTTCAAAATGACAAGAAACCACCCTGCTAATTTTTAGTAAGATAATATTCTGAGGTCACAAAATAATTTGTCCTGTGGCTGTATACAGTCAAGAGTTGTACCATGAGGAGATAAGTAATGTTTCTTAATTGTTTGGCTACTGCTGCTGATGGTGATGATAGTTTTCAAAAATATTTTACTATACTACCCTTGATATTAATTAAGCAGCTATTCTTTGTTTTTCAGATGAAAACTTCATGAGCATCCAAAGCACTGGGGCTTATCTCCTATTTATGAAATATTATTTATTTACTTAATAAATAAATTTATATGGCTACCCAACTCACAATAATTGTATTGTATTGTATTGTATTGTATTGTATTGTATTGTATTGTATTGTATTGTATTGTATTGTATT